TGAAAAAGCCATTTTAAAAAGATGACCATTTTTCCTTCCCGTAACACAAATTTCTCTGTTAGAAACTACAGGTCAGTAACCCATCCATAAATCAAGACTTAGAGAAGACTCTGTGCTCCCAGGGATGCAGAACAGCCCAGTGATGACAGTCACACCATGGATCCCTTTGTGACTACTGCACTTTTTCTGGTTTGGTAGTTATTAAGACTCCTTCTGAAAACAAATTTCCCAATATTCTGCCCCATAAGAAACAAACAGGACAGGACTGAGGCCTAATTTGGGACTGGCACAGAGTACAGCAGCAAAACCTGATTTTCCACAGCACATTAAGGTATTGTAGCAGCAAGTCATTCATGCGGTCCAGGTAGAGAAGAAAACAAACTAACCAACATAGACTTCTGCCAGGGAATGAAGCAATCTTCCTGGTCATCTCCACTCCACCAATAAAGATCAAACAGAGATGACCTCACCAGCTCACTTGCACAAAAAGGTAAATAAAGTTAAGTTTCAGCAACGTGCAATAACAAATTAAAGCCCCAGTGGTGCAGAACAGCTCGGCACCTTCGCAGCTCCCACTCCCAGTGCTGGGATGTGGCTCCCCACAAACCAAGACCTTGGAATGGTTTGGCTCCCAGCCTGGTGCTCCTGCCCAGTGCTGGACAGGTGAGGACTGGAAGCATCAGCTACTTGATCCAGTGGAAGGTTATGGCAACCAGTGGTGAAGACAAGCAAAGGTAGGAACTACAAGCATTCCCCGGAGACACAAACGATGCTCTGCTTGGCAGAACTCAGGTGTGTAAAGCAGCAAAGTCACAGGGTTGGGAATCCAACCAAACACAGCACGTTAGGGAGAAAGACTGAGCTTGCTGAGGTGGAGCAGAGGATCTGGCTGCTCAGCCCAGCAGACATTCACTGGTGTCACACTCCAAGCACTTACCAGTGCCTCTTCAAAATCCACCCTAAACAACCAACAGAAAGTTCAACACTTTCCACACCAAGTCACATGCAAAATGGGGTTCACCCCTAAAAAATGTCCTGTCACAAGAACAGCAGAGTCACAGAATGGTTTGCGTTGGAAAGAACTGAAAGATCATCTGCTTCCATCCCCTGCCATGGGCAGGGACACCTCCCACCAGCCCAGGCTGCTCCAAGCCCCGTCCAACCTGGCCTGGAACACTCCCAGGGATGGAGCAGCCACAGCTGCTCTGGGCAACCTGTGCCAGTGCCTCAGCACCTCACAGGGAGGAATTCCTTCCAAATACCCAGTCTAAACCGGCCCTCTGTCAGTTCAGAGCCATTCCCCATTGTCCTGTTGCTCCAGGCCCTTGCAAAAAGTCCCTCTCTGGCTTTCTTGTAGCCCCTGTAGGAACTGAAAGGCCACAGTGAGGTCACCCCAAAGCCGCCTCTTCCCCAGGTTGAACAACCCCAATTCCTCCAGCCTTTCCTCACGGGAGAGGTGCTCCAGCCCTCTGCGACACTATGCGTCGATTTTTTTCCTGAGATTGTCTCATAAATGTACTATCAGTGTTACAGAATCTGATAATCTGCTGCTAATAGGACCATAAAGACCTCAAGGAACATTTCTCACTGTTGTTACATCTTGAAAGTAACTGCATGTTACTCCCAGGCACCAGATTTACTTCACAACCTTTTTCCCCCAAAATAGTTGAAAAGATGTTATAATGACTGATCAGTACATATGCCTTTTTTCTGCTCTGCTCTCGGAATGGTGCAGGAGGAGCAGAACCTGCAGCAGTGCCAGCAGCTCCTCAGGCAGGCAGTAGCCAGGCAGGACTGTGCCCCCCGGGCATGGCCAGGCACCTCCAGCTGCAGGAGGGGGAACAGGTACGTCCCATGGAATTGCTTCAGCAAACCAGCACCATGCGAAGGGCAGAGAGGAATCTCCCCCAGGAGCACAGGGTATTCTACAAACAGCACTGCACGTCCCTCCTGCCAGAGCCACCATGGAACCCTCAATGAGCAGATAGTGCAGCCCAGAGCCTGACACCTTCCCAGGAGACTGTCCACCTGCATCCAGGGAATGCTCTAGCACAAAGACCAGAACTGCTCAGCAGCAGGAGCAAGGGGTGTCCAGGCCGGAAGAACCTGAAGGAGTCTGAGCAGAGCTGGGACTCGCAGTGGTCTCCTGTGCCCTGAGGAACCACCCAGCTGTAGGACAGGAGGACAGGCTGCTTCCCCTGCTTTGTGGTATCTACCTTGTGTTTCCTCGAGGTTTTGGGGGGGAAACAATTTTCAATTTGGTTTACCTGCATGAATACGGGACTTCTTTTCCTTCCACGTTCACCGCACCAGACAAACTAAACTGCCCACGGTCTACACAGGCTTGGAATCAGGGACAAACAGAAAGGAGCCAACCTCGAAAATCACAACTAAGTTCTGAAAATCGTAGGTTAGAAAACCAGAATTTGGAAGTGTTGACAGAACTATTCAACTTACTGTTCAACTTTACATAAAATTCATCTCAACACTACTTGCTGTAAAAACTGCCAAAGCATCCTAAGAGTAACAAAACCATCCCACTGAAATGGAGCTGCCACTGCTCTCATTCACCATCACGCCCCTTGCTCCCCCCAGACCATACTGCTGGAGCAGAGGTTTAAAATCTAGTATGTCACAGTACAGTAGGTTCCCTTGCACAGCCCTAACATGCCAGGCTGAAAGTGATGTAATTTCAGGCACCATGAACAATTTCTCTTGTCATTTTAAATACAACTCGTTACCAAATTAGGTGCCGGTTTTCCTCATTGGCTCAATTAGCAACAGGCACGGAAAACTCATTTTCCAACTGGCAAATTGCAGAGAAGAATCCAGAAGCAAGTTACAGGTAATAAGCATCTCTCAGACTGCGTAACAGCAGTGGAGGGAGTAATTGCAGACTGTCCCTCTGCCTGCAGGTCGTCCTCGGTCCTGCCAGGGCAACAGGCGTTCATTAGGTGGGTTTTGCAGGAGAAGGTGCCTTCAATCCCCAGTCTACTGCTTTCACCAAGAGAAACCCACCTGTTTTGTCACACAATGCCAGTCCAAACCAGAACATTTGAACACGAAAATGTCCACAACAACGGTTTCCAACAGCAGCAGTCCCTACCAGCCCAAATTCCCACCTGCCTGGAGCTACACGGCTCTCTGCAGGGCACTGAGAGGGACCCCCTGGCCTCTCCTGCACCAGAAACATCTCCCCAGCTGCTGAACTTCTCAAAGCAATTTCTAAACTATCATTTTCTCTTTTAATAAAAGGGTCGGAATGAAATGTTCGCCAAAATGAAAACACAGATGTGGCCAACATCTGGTCCAACCTCTTAAAGGCTTATTTAAAGGCAGCAGCGTCACGTGGCGCAGCTCTGTGAAGGAACACAACCCCTCCACTGCAGGGCAGAGAAAACCAGTTGGGCACGAGGAGCAGTGGCACACGCCCCCACCTGAGTCCCACTGCCCAGGAAAGTGCCGTCGGGGGCACGAGGAGCGAGGCCCACTCGGCTGCGCCATGCCCAGCGCCTTGCCAGGAGCACGGGCACTCCAGACCCTCCCCAGGCACTGACCCAGTGACACTCATCAGCCCCCGGGGCAGCACCCCCAGCCCCAGGCACCCGAAGGGAACGCGCCCCAGGCACCCAAAGGGAACTCGCCCCAGGCACCCAAAGGGAACGCGCCCCAGCCCTCTCTGCAGCCTTTGAACCTCTCTCTGACAGCTCCAGTAGACATGAGGGCTAGTCAGACACTGGGGATTAGGTTTGTAAACCTGCAGGATTATTTACTGTTCTTGTCATTACCAAATCCACACTAAACCCTATTTTACCACAGTCTCCCACCCCGTGCAGCTAGTTAAACGCACATGCAGCACGCGGTTCCGCAGATTTATTACGGAAGAATCATTTCAGCAGATACATTTTAAACCCACACTTTTACAAAGAGCCACGTGAAGAATGTGTTTTTCTGTTTCTATTACAGGAGGCAGCACTATTTATTGCTCTGCTCAGATAAGAGGATTTCCTTGCAGACAGAAATGGAGGCTGAACACTTCACAGGAAATCCTCCCGAGCAGTTATAATAGAAGGCACTTGGTCCTGTGGTCCCATGCAGCAAATAGACCCTTCATGGCTCTGTTTCATAGCAAAGAGCCAAGAGAGCTTAAACAAAGAACCCTTCCACCTATTCAGCACACCAACAGATGCTAAGCACTCCCAGTATTTGGGAAATACTTTGGGGCTCAAGCACGACCAAAATCTGAGAGAGGAAAAGAAACCTGAAAGATTTTTGTTGTGAACAGGAGATGCCTCTACAGCTATGAAAGTCCTTAAGCAGTAAACCAAAGAGCCTGACGCCAGGGCACCAGACACTGTGGGACTCCTGATTGCTGCTCCCCAGCAAGCGACTGAACCCAGCAGAGCCACAGAGAGCTGGCACAGACCACGCCAGGGTGAAGCCACCTTGACACTCACAGCCAACTCTCAGCTCCAGGATTCAGGCACGAGTGCTCATGGAGCACACGAGGCCACGCACACAGCAGGGATAAACGAAGCGATTTCCTCCTGCCAAGGCAAGGCTCAGGGCTCCTGTCCAGCCAAAGCCAAGTTCCCAGCC